CCCCGCCCCCCCCCAAGGGCTGTCTTCGGCGTCAAATGCTAGTAAGTCTCAGAAAGACTTATCTAGACTGAAAGTTGGCCCCAATAAGGCTATACTGACCGCGGGTTCTTTGGATGAAGACAGTAGTAGTCTAATTCTGACACAGGTTAAATCTGCCTGAGTTCTTCTCAACTGAAAAACTAGGCCATCCAACCAAAAAAAACAAAAAAAACAAAAAAACTCTAGGCCATCAACAAAACTGAAACGGCCTCAAATCACGCACCATGTCATCCTAAAAGCTGAACACAGCAGCTCTCTCTCTCTCTCTCCCTCTCTCTCCCTCTCTCTCTCTCTCTCACACACACACACACACACACACACACACACACACACACGCCCGCACACGCACATAGGATACACCAATGCCTTTTGGATTGGCCTCCACTGCGCACCGACTAGCAGCATGAGCGGCAACAGCAGCAGAGGCACCAGCACAAACGTCCGTGATTCCTCTGCCTGGGCACCACCAGCAGAAGCAGCAGGAATATCACATGCTGCTGCTGCCGCTGCTGCTGGCACAAACACCCGTTCAAAAAACCTGGCTGGCATGCAGTGGCGAAGCCTCTCCGCTGGTCAAAAAAAATTGCTCTTCATCCTAGCCTTCCCAATGGCAGCACTGCCTACGAGAGCACACAACGAGACGAAGTAGACTCTGCCCGAAGAACCTCCCTTACCTCTCAGCTCTCTTAGCTGGACCCCTACTACTACCCTTACTACCCTTGCTAAACCTACCACCCACCCTACCTCCAGGACCACCAGATTGCCGTCTTCCAGCCTTCTGAGCAACCGCATTAAGTGCCCTTTTCCCAGGGAGGCCATCTACCTTCTTGGCCCTTTGGCCTTCGAAAGCTGAAGGCTTGGCCCTCCGAGACTGTTCTAGCACATGTTTTAGCGCCTGCCTCATCTCGTATCCCTTCGACACTGCCGGAAGCTTTGCCGTTTTCCTCGACAGAGTGTCCGCTGCAGCGGACGTCCTCGACGGACGCGCTATTCGCAGCTCTCGCTCTCTCAATTTGAAGCCTCTCGAGTTCAGAGCCGCTCTCGCGGCCTGGCTTGTCTTGAACAAGACATACGCAACCCCCTTCCCTCTGCTTGCGTGCTCTTCTCTGACAACGCGGACTGCCGCGACTTGCCCTCTCAGCTCCGGCTTGGCTTCCTCCCCACCAAAAAACTGGTAGAGCTCTTCGTCTTTCACATCATACGGAAGGTTCCCCACAAATATGGATAGGTTACGGTCATACTCGACTCGTCGTCCTGTTGCTGCGTCCAGCGGCTTGCCCTTCTTCTGGTGTACTGCCCAGGACGGAGCGGTCGCTGCGTCCACACGAATATGGTTCCCCCGGAGCACCTTCATATTGTGTGCGAGCGCCGCCTTTGCGCTCTCCAACTGTTTGAAGACGACATACGCGTTCTGAGTGTCGTGCACATCGCTCACTTTCCCCTTGAAAATGGCCCCTCTGATGAATTTCTTTCCCTCTGCTAGGGCAATGGATCGAAACCTGAGCGATTCCACAGCGCCGTAGACAGAGAACTCTTTTGCCAGCTCTTTACTGTCGACTGCTTTCGGCAGATTACCCACAAACACTGTGCGCGCTAGCTTGTCCTCGGGATCGTCATACTGCTTCTTTTGCTTAGCTCTTTTTTTCCTCTCCTGCCTCTCTTCCTCCTCGGAATCGTACACCACTACTCTAGTCTTAGCATCGTCTCCCCGAAGACCTCGACCTTGCTCCACTTTGTCCTCATCATCAGATTCCTCTTCGTCGCCCAGCAGCACCCGATTGGCCTTATTATTACCCCTCGACCTCTTCTTCTCGCGGGGAGAGTCTTCATCATCACCTTTCTGGCCGGCCCTGGGAGTAGATGTTCTCTCTCTCTCCCGTTTATAAGGTGTTTCTTGTGCACCACCATCACATCCTTCGCCGGATCCCTCCCGCCGCTGCTCACGATCGCTCGATTTCTTTCTTGCCAATTTGGTCTCTTCTTCCCCCTCCCCGTCCTCCGTTTGCGGAGGAGGAGGAGGAGGAGGATCATTTTTCCCCTCCCCGTCTCCATCCTCCTTCGCACCATGCCTCTTCTTCTTGTGCTTCTTCTTTAACGTCTTACGCTCCTCTTTTCCTTCAATAACATCCTCATTCTCTTCCTGCTTCCTGTTTTCCCTATCATCCGAATTCTCCAAGCCGTCTTCAAAGGCAGCGCTCGTCTTCTTCCTCCGCTTGCGCTTCTCCTTTTTCGTTCCTCCTATCTCAACCTCCTCCCCCTCTGCAGATGGGTGCACACATTCATCTGTGGTTTTCGCCCCCTTCTTCTTCGAAAGAGAGCGTGCTTCCCCGCAGTCCGAGGACTCCGCCGCTCCATGCCGTCGTCGCTTCTTCGAAGAGTCACCTGCGTCCCCCGCAACGGCATCTCGCCGAAACGGGTTGTTCGTAAAAAGAGAAGATGTCACAGCACCCTTCCCTTGGCCCCCATTCCCGAACAGTTCTCCGAACACGTCCTTTTTTCCCATGCCTGCAATCCAACCCAAGAAAGCAGCTTGTTATGCACCACACTTGTCTTCATCCACGCAAGCATACACACCAGCGATTACGTCCATTCTTTCTTTTCTCCTTTGCCTTTTGAAAAAACAAAACAAAAAAAAGACCGACAGCGTCGAGATATCATCGTGAAACTGACCAGCCTCAGGTAATTCAGGAATTCTGTTCATCTGATTTCATCTGGACTCGAACTCAGGTCTGAAACTGAGTAATCGGATGGGATAGAAACCAGCTATTTACGTCCATTCGGGTCAGTTTCAGACCTAAGTTCAAGTCCAGATGGAATAGAAACCAGCTATTTATGTCCATTCTGGTCAGTTTCAGACCTGAGTTCAAGTCCAGATGGAATAGAAACCAGCTATTTACGTCCATTCGGGTCAGTTTCAGACCTGCGTTCGAGTCCAGAAGACCGTAGATAGGACATTCTGGGATATATATCTGCACCATTTTTTTGCGGCCAGATGGAGTCTTTCTATTCCATTGTTCCTCCTTACCTGAATGGACGGACGTAAATAGACTGGAATAGAAACCAGCTATATCCGTCCATTCAGGTACGGAGGAACAATGGAATAGAAAAACTCCATCTGGCCGCAAAAAAATGGTGCAGATATATATCTCAGAAAGTCCTACCTACGGTCTTCTCACCCGAATAGCACCCGCGGCTGATTATTATCACTCTATGTAGTCTGAAACTTGCACCAAATACAGGTATGATGACCGGGCATTCTATTCGGGTGCAGACGGTAGTGTGAGTGTACGAGCCTCCTCCCTCTGGCTATGCTCCATATCCTGAAAAATAGCACGTATGTTGTGAAGACTGTATGCAGTCTGAAAATTGCACCAAGTACAGGAAAGGGCGAACAGAATATCAACATACGCTTTGAAAGAGACGACTACCTCATTGCCAAAAGGCTATCCAAAGCTCATCCAGAAGTTTTTTTTTTTTCCCGAAAAGGATCTCCAAAGCTTATCCAAAAGGTTAATCCGAAAGTTTTTTTATCCAAAAGGATCTCCAGAGATTATCCAAAAGTTTTTATCCGAAAAAGGATCTCCAGTGATTATCCAAAAGTTTTTATCCGAAAAAGGATGTCCAGTGATTATCCAAAAGGTTATCCAAAAGAGGGTTATCCAAGATGCACCGCTGGAAGGATCTTATATATCCCTGTCATTACTGACACAATGCGTACGTCAGATGTCAGATCCACACTACTTCCGCTGGCAAGTCACAGCCACAGAAGGCTGGTATTAGGATCCTTGTTCATGTCTGCGACTACCATTCTTCCTTACCTTGATGATGAACTCTTACCATCAAGGTTCAGCCAGGTCGCACGAAATTCACTCAATTGCATTGCTACTCTTCCCCCCCCAAACATACAAACTCTCTCTCTCTCTCTCTCTCTCTCTCTCTCTCTCTCTCTCTCTCTCTCTCTCTCTCTCTCTCTCTCTCTCTCNCTCTCTCTCTCTCTCTCTCTCTCTCTCTCTCTCTCTCTCTCTCTCTCACACACACACACACACACACACACACACACACACACACACACAGACGATAAGATCACAGGCATGGTAATCTCCTGGGCAAACATTTCAAAAATGGGCCGGTGATGCTCTACCATTGTAGGGAGTGGCTCAGGGAAGGGAGCCTCTGTCTGTCTGACCCTATACCGTTTAGTAAAACGCAGACAACGGGATGATGATAACACTGCGAACGTACATACACCCATCACTGAGACACTACTTAGCGTCTTCTACCGACACAATGCCAGATGTCAGATCCATGCTACTTCTAATGGCAAGTCGGGGCCACAGAAGGCTGGTATCAGGATATTTGTTCATGTCTGCGACTACCATTCTTCCTTACCTCGATGATGACCTCTTACCATCAAGGTTCAGCCAGGTCGCACGGAATCCATTCTACATTGTCGCTCCCTTCAGCGTGCACACACACACACACACACGCACATGCACACGTATACACAGACAAACATACTTCAACCAATGGATGGCAGCTGTTCACACACTCTGCATAGAACTCCCGCTGCAAGCACCACTACCACACAGAATTACTTGTGAATGGCATGCTGGATGAAGCACATTATAGCTCGTGCATCTCTTTGAGATGAGCACGAGACGGAGTGATGAAAAATTTGTCAGACACCAGACTACTTCCAATAGCCAGTCATCTCTGAGAAAGTCTTGCAACAAGATCCCAGCGCCAAGGCCTCAGCAACTTACTAATTAGTAATTACCTAATCAACCAATCAATCAATCTATCCATCTATCAGTCCATCAAAAAATAAATCCATCCATCCATCAATCAATCAATCCATCAATCAATCAAATCAAATCAATCCATCAATCGACTAGTCTATCGCTTACCACCAGCAAGCTTACTAATTAGTAATTACCTAATCAATCAATCAATCAATCTATCTATCTAACAGTCCATCAAAAAATTAATCCATCAATCAATCAATCCATCAAATCAATCCATCAATCAATCAATCAATCCATCAACTCAATCCATCAATCAATCAAATCAAATCAAGCCATCAATCGACTAGTCTATCGCTTACCACCAGCAAGCTTGGGGGTTAGGTTGCACCACCTACCTGACCTACCTGACAGGTAGCAACCTCATCGTTATCGTCCATCGGACAGCCACGGCAACAAGATGACAGACAAACGAAGAGGGGCACACTCACACGCAGATCATTACTGCATCTAGACTGAAAGTTGCCCCAAATACAGCGATAACGACCAATGGACTTCCGTGAAAGAATATGAACTGGGACTGTGCGTATGCCCTCACACACAAACGTCCGCCCGATCATTATCGATGTTTCTAGACTGACATTTGCCCCATATACAGCGACAATGACCCGGGGCCGTTCTACTCTGGTGAAGATGGTAGCTTGAGTACCATAATGTCAGGTCCATACTACCTTTGCTGGCATGTCATCACCAGCAAAGGCTATCTTTTGGATCCTTGCCTTAATCCTTTTGATTAACTTTTGTTGTATGCGACCAAATTCTCCTTGCCTTGATGATTAGCTCCTATCACCAAGGCTCAGCCAGAGTCGCAAAATATTTCTATTGGTTGATTATGGCCACTCTGTCGATCGATCCACTGACCCATCCATCCATTTTACATCCATCCATCCATTTTACATCCATCCATCCATCCGTCCACCCCTCCGTTAATCAATCAATCAGTCGATCAATCACTCAATCAATCCATCAAATTTAAGGACACTCAATCAATATATGCACTCACCCATCCATCCATCCATCCATCCATCCATCAATCAATCAATCAATCAATCAATGTCGATCAATCAATCAATCAATCAATCAGTCGACCAATCAATTAATCATTCGATCAATCAAACAATCGGTCGAACAATCAATCAAACAATCAGTCGAACAATCAATCAATCAATCAGTCGAACAATCAATCAACCAATCAGTCGATCAATCAATCAATCAATCAATCAATCAATCAATCAGTCATTCCCTCATGTACCCGCGGACAATCGAAAGCCCTGGTGGCTGCATGGGCGACGTGTACTAATCATTGAGAATGTAGACAAAACCGGGTACTTCATATTTCAACACAGTGGGAGAGGGGAAGCGTGATCACATCGAACGGACAGGAACTACCGGTAGGAGAAGACTATAATAGGAAAGTGGAACGGGCATCGCGGGGAGCAGTTGATGGCAGACGAGATGTGCACGGAACAGGAGAGAGGGGAAGAGGTAGAGCGATCGCAGGAGGAAAGAGAGGAGTGACGAGAGTGAGAGAGTAGGAAACGAGAGGAAATGACATGAAGAGAACACTACAGCCGTCGACAAGTAACGACCGCAACGACAATAAGACGGAGGCAGAAGGCTTACACACGAACAGCAAAAGAGTGGGAGAGGAGGCGGTAGCTTAGTAGGAGAGGAGAGGAATCAGAGAGGAGAGGACGAGCAAGTTCTGCACGAGAAGAGCAAGACAGTGGGAGAGTAGTAGGTGATTAGGTGAGTAGGAGAGTAGGAGAGTAGGAGAGCAGGAGAGTAGGAGAGTAGGAGAGAAGGAGAGAAGGAGAGAAGGAGAGTGGGAGAGTAGGAGAGTAGGAGAGAAGGAGAGTAGGAGAGAAGGAGAGAAGGAGAGAAGGAGAGTAGGAGAGAAGGACAGAAGGAGAGAAGGAGAGTAGGAGGTGAGTAGAAGGAGAGGAGAAGAAGAGTAGCAGGAGCGGAATAGAAGAAGTGGGAAGGAGAGGAGTAATAGAAGAGGAGAGGCCTAAAAGAGAAGGAAGAATAGATGGAGAGGAGAGGGAACAGAGAGAAGATGGCGAAAAGTGGATGAGAGAGGGATAGGAGCGGCGGGGACACTGAACGGAGGATGATAGGCAAGTAGGAGAAGAGAGCCGAATAGCACGCATGGATGAAGAAGCACACACAAGATGTTTCCCCGCGGCGTATAATCTCATGTGACCGCTTCTGAGGATTGGCAGAGGCACGAACGAAGGAAGTGCTGACGAGCCTCTGCCGCATTGATTTTGACAAAATCGGCGATTTGGATAATCAACGATAAATGGTATTTGTTTTGATACAAACAAAAAGACGATGGCTATGTTAGTAGTAGGAGATACCTACCCTTCCCTACTGGCAAAGAACCTAGTGCTTTCCTGGTACCAGGTCTCTTTTCTTTTGGAGCTAGGGAGGTACTACGGGTCCTCTGATTTCCAGAAGAAGAAAAAATCATTCGACTGTATCTCGCCAGTATCACCTATAGTAGGCCGTTCACGAGGAGAATGAATGAACAGAACAGGCGGAATGAATGGCGAGAGAGAGAGATCATAAGCGCTAGAAAACACAACACAGAGAAGAACCCGCCCAACAGCCATACGCATTAAGGCTGGGTTAATAGGCGTTAAAAATACTAAAACTGATGATTTTTTACTTTTCTCTTGGACTAGGTTGCCTTCCTGGCTCAATGGGACGGATAAGATCCATTTGCACACCCCCTCCTCCTGCCTGCTGCACCTCTGCTCATTCCCTTTGGATGACGGATACACACACACAAGGACGTTCTGTAGAAACGATAAATACGGTGAAGGCGGTTTAAAAACCAAAAAAAGTACAACAACAAGTAAAATAATCCACTTTTAACCCAAAAACATGTGAAGGCATCCAGCGGCCAAGCTCAATTGGTTGGGCACGCGCAAGTGGCATTCAGGAGGCCGCGGGATCAATCCCCATGGCCGCCTGTGGTACGTTTGGCGCCAACCAACGAGATGGTCAGCTGGATCCTCCCCGTCGGGATTAGTAGGGTGTTCAGCCAACACGGGTGTGATTGCGTGTGGGTGGGTGGGTTGCGTGTGGTGTGTGGGAGAGTGTTGTGTTGGCCTTGGACACTGCTGTTACTCGATGCGGGTGGGGGGAGATGAAAAGGGAGGCGCAGCTACTGGCAAATGCTCGGTCCTTGTGTTAGCCGGGCCCCCACCGGCGGGCCCAACCCTGATCCCTAAACCACTAGGGCAAGGGGCAAACATGCAATTACCTCCCCCTCCACCGAGAGAGGTAACCTTCTTTCACCAAGAGAGGTAGGTAGCTACGCTCGCAGGGCTGCCCTGTATAGCCTTAGGGGAAGTGGTAGGTTGGTCGTGAAAGATGGAAAGAATTTGAGAGAAGAATATATATAGTATAGTGTAGTTTAAGGAAGGAAAAAACTTCGGCAATGATTGCTACCGATTGGGAGAAGCCCTCCGTTATTTCAAGCTTCTACGCCGAGAGGGAGGAGGGGAGGAGGGGAGGAGGGGAGGAGGGGAGGAGGGAGGGGAGAAGGGAAGAAGAGGAGAGAAGGAGAGGAGCGAGGAGCGCATTTTGGCCATCAATCAACCAGAAAACGTCAAGAGCACATATGATTAGCCGTAACACCACTTGCCAGTCCTCTTTCTCCGTCTGACGTTTTGCAATAACCTCCCCCCCTTCAGCAGGACGGTGTGCAATTCCAGCTGTATGCTCAGTAATTCCGTGCTCATAAGATTAATAAATAAGCTGCAATAACCCGATGTTGTTCATGTCCAGTGCAAGACGGTAGAAACAGCAAAACCCTGGTTACACATGCGCATTCGATTCCCAGCTCAACCACTAGATGTGGAGATGACACACCGTGCCACGTGGCTCACACCTGTCGCCTTACGAGCTCATATGCACTTCAATCAGATTCGCAACGAGGAATCCTTTTACTTATTACTAGCAAGTGTTTTTTTTAATGGCAATCTTACGGTCAAATTTCGAGAGGTGCGAGCTATGACGCAATGTGGCATGGCGACGGCGCAACGGGGCTATAGCACCCCGTCACCATTCTACTCCCAGCATACCCTTCTTCCCCGAATATAACCCACTCTCATCATGAATGTATTGATGACAGGTTTCCCATCACCAACAATTACGTACTAGACTTCAAAAATGACGCCTATTCGCTGTGATGGGCGGAAGACGATACGCATTTGACGACGAAGGGCATGTTGAGGGTTCTCATGGCAAACAATCACAAATGATCATAATAATACCTAGTAGCTGCTGGAAGCAGAGATGGGTTCCACTGTGGCACCATCGAAATTAGAGCCAGAAGGGGGAGAATGGGGAAGAGGGGGAAGAGGGGAGAGAGAGAGAGAGAGAGAGAGAGAGGATGCTCACATTGACGCATGACGAAGGAAGAAACAACATAAACGAGTGAAGAAGATGAACGTCTATCAGGAGTACACATCGACATTACCTGTGCCCATCAGCTCGTCAAGTAAAGCCCTCTGTGCATCCACCATCTTCGCCGCCGCTGATACGACGCTCAACGGCTAATTGACACAAGATGACTAACTAACGCCTTGACCTGAAAGGCTGAGTGCGCCCGCCAACAAACTGTTTCCCCCCTAACTTCTCCACTCCCTCCCTTCCTCTCATCCAGCTAGCTACCGTAGCTAGCTAGCCTACCACCGGGGTCACCGAGTGAAATCACCGACCGAGTACCCTCCTGCCAGTTTCCCCACCTTGTGGAAAGAAAGAGTCGTCAAGAAACCTTAGCTCTTCCGTGAATTCTTCAAGCGGCCTTGTGGAGACGACGTTTGACCAAGAAAACCATACAGTAGTAAGTTTAGATCAATCTTTATCTGCTGAAATACAGTACACCCCGCCAAGCCCCGAAAAACCGTTCCCGCGCGTGACTCCCTCTCACGACGCTTGAGGAGTTCAAATCCTCGTCCTCAGCTTCGTATTGCGTGCTGTTGACCGTCGGTGCGACGAAGGGATCGAAGGTCCGACCGACCGACCGACGGACCAACCGCGAAGCAAACACACCCCACTTATTCGCTGCAGCGTGAGCCGCAAGCGCGGCAATGCTAACCGACAAATAGCCGGCTACCGTCCACCATCGCAAGTACCGGTTTCCGCTCTCTGCTTCTGTATGCCTCTTCATCACATCACACCGCATCACATCACATCACATCACATCGCATTCAATTTGCATATTACAATACAATACATGCCGGCGCGTGGTCGTGTTCATGCGCCGAACGATCCATCGGCCTCCACACAAAAGCCCTTAGCCACTCCGTTGAAATCTTGCCGGGGTGCCGGGGCGGTTCGGCAGAGCTCTACCCGCTCTGAAGACTCGAGCGGCCCCACTGGAGCGCTTCCGCCGGCGCTATGCGCATCTGACCAAGCGCTATCCGCCCGGCAACGAGAGAACTGAGGCGGCCGTTGTCGTCAACACCGTGATGACGCCATGGGAGAGGTGTATTATCTCTTTGTCCGCCATGTCTCGGGGGAGTCGACCGTCACAGCCAGAGATGGCGGCCGGTTCGTTCGAAGACTGCAGTGCGTGCAGCCGGTTCCGGCCCCTACCACGAGAGAAATCGCGGTTGAGTGATCTGGACGAATATTGGTGTCTGTTTTTGCTTCCTCTGCCGAAACCAGCCAGGTACCCTGAGGGTGTTCTGCGTCGTCCTTCAGCAAACAAATGTCGCCAGTGGCTCGGGAGAACCCTCAGCAGGTTTGCACAACTACCTACCGAGCGTAGTCGGGGTAGTAGACGCCGTATTTCCACGAGAGTCTTCCAGTCTTGTCTATGTCTATCCGAGATATGTTTCACCAGCACTATACCCCTTTCTACCCAGGATCTGGCAAAATTGGCACTGGCTTCTTTGGTTTCGAAGGGTCTCCCAGAGCCCTTTTTGATCCATGGATTGTCAAACAAGACTTGGAGGCTACTTCCTGTTTCGTGGAAGGGGGTTAAACCACCAGTAGTGCCGCGCGTCCCAGTTGGTAACCACCGGGCTTTTTCCAGCCTCGGAAAATGGCTGGGTACAGGTTTGGCCGGGGTGCCAATTGAAAACACGCCCGGCCACTCTATTGCAGGCTGAAACGGTGGCAGGGACCGGTTCTACTGCGTCCTACAAACGGTAATGCCACCGTTTGGATAGGATATCACGCGGCCTGCCTTTTTTGGAATCTTGCCATTCTTGGACTCTTGGAATCCGACAAACTTGCGCCGCCCATCCTGCCCGACAGTTCGAACCCTCCTGCGAGCCAACCAGCTACCCAGCTATACCTCCAAGACTACAACCGCCTTCCAACGGGTAAGAGCTCGTGTTGGGTGTGTCCCTGTGTGTGTGTGTGTGTGTGTGTGTGTGTGTGTGTGTGTGTGTGTGTGTGTGTGTGTGTGTGCGTATGTGCGTGTGTGTGCGTGAGAGAGAGAGAGAGACTTTACAACTCTCGGCATGCACAAAAGACAAAACAGTTATGGGGATGTATCTTTCCATGTTCAACGGGACCATTCGTTCTCACTTTGCACAATCCGTGACGAGTGGATCGAGCCACATACAGAGACAAAAACAAAGAGAGAGAGAGAACCCCTGCCACCCTGTGAGTTAGGGGCGCCTTTTTCGGCAAGTAGCCGCCCTTTCCAGCCTAGCTGCCAAAGTACCAAGCAACGCAAAGTCGGGCCCAGGCTGGAGACGGTGGACGACGGCGGATTGCACCAACAGTCGTCGAAATGGTCGGGCCGGTCCAATGTTTGGCCGCCCGGCACCCTCTATCAGACTTTCGCGCATTGGTGGGAAAGGAAGACCTGAGGCGAAAAAAAAAACAAAAATTTTGTGGTCGCGGTTTTTTTGTTTTATTTTTTTTTTGTCATTACGGTTGTCATTGTACTATCAATATATACGAATGTGAAAACAATCGCTGTAGTCGATTGTCCGGTCCGATTGTCTACGGTTTCGTTCGTTTGGTGACATTTTCACTGTTCGGGATAGTGATACGATAGTCCGCCATCGCCCGAACATCCGAGAGTCAGCTTAGGGGTCTTCGTACGTTCAGTCTGGGAACCCTGTATATACCACTTGTACGCACCCTCGTACGACTATGGATTAGTGCTCTAGTACTCATACGGTTCTCACACGGTAGGGGTCCCACACGAGTTTTTTTTAATGTTTTTTTTTTCGGTATTATTTGGAAAAAAAAAAATTATCAGATTTCAATAAGAGTCTGAAGATGATGGTCAGCCAAAGGTTGCTTGCTTTGAGCTCTTGCATCACATATTTGTTTATAGGATCTTTTTCGATTACTTTTTTTTTTTTTTTTTTTTTTTTTACTTTTTTGTACGGCGATGTACAAGACGTACAAGTCCTCGTACAGATAACCCTTGTATGTATTGTACAGAAAGGCCCTACGTGTACGTTGTGCATATATATCAACAGAAAAATTCCCACGGTAAATGAAAGTTGAAAAAACATTGTAAAAAAAAAAATCCTTTATATTTATAAATTATCATTCCAATGTTCGTCAAATTATAAAATTTATCGTTTTATTTGATAAGTTCCCGTCTAAATAGGAGTGTTCCCTTCGAACTACTACATCTATTTGTTCGAGATGGAAGGAAAGTTTTGACGAGTTTATAAAATGTTTTAATTAAACTTTCATTCTTCTACAACAAATATCTTATAACTTAGATTGGATTAACTTAATTTATGATTGAAAATCTTTACTTAGAATGACAGTCTAATTAAAATATTTCATGGAATCATCCAGACTTTCATGGCATCTCTAGCATGCAGTTAAAATAAGAAGGGATACCCCATTCTTTGAATGAAAGTTTTAAAGTAAGAAGGAAAATTTTAAAATTAGAATGATATTTTTTAAGTTGGAATAAAAATTAAAAATTAAAAATGTAATTTTACTATAGAATGAATATTTAATTCTGGGAAATTTTTCTATTGATATATGACAAACACAAAATAATTTATATACGGAACGAGACCGTTATATAGAAATACATCGATTCTGACTCATGTCTTAGAATTATTTTTTAGTTTTATGGCTATATATATTTATAGGATTGTCAGACCGTTACTATTCAGTACGTAAAAACATGTTTGTATTTGATGAGAAATAAATTTTGTGTGTTCTGTATGATGTTAGGTACATGACTATAAAGTTTGAAGTCATTTTTATCTACCAAATAATATAAAAACAATCTTGTAATATGGAGGTGTTAATATGTGCTCACCCACTTAGAAAAGTTTCATTTTTGTGTACAAGTGGTTTTTTTTTCCGGTGTTTTCAAACCATAAACAAGTACATCATGTTTTTGATAATTTGTTTGATGAGTTTTATGGTATTTGAAGAACACATATATCAATTGTTTCGACCAATGGCATAAGTTTTTTGCTATGTAATTGTCATTTTTATTTTCTATTTTTTATGTTATCACTGTTTATTTTTCTTGTTTTACGTTTACTTCATTTTCGCGGAGGAATCAGAATATAAAGGTCGGCCTAATTTCTGATGTGTTTTTTTTAATATAATTTTTTTTTTTTTTTTTTTTGGGTTCCGCGTTCTCCACAAGTCCGAACATAAGCCGAAAACACGGGAGTTCCGTTTGGAAATTGAAGGGGGGAAAAAAAAAAAATTATAATAATAAATAAACAAAAGATAAAATAATCATTATATATGTGGTAACCAGCCCCTACGTACGGAGGTCCCTGGGCAGACGTCCGTACGTACGGGCGTTCGGGGTCCCGTACGGGGTCCGAAGCCGACGGCGTTCGGCCCCCGCCAAAAATTATTTCGGGGCGTAAAAATATTTTTCTTTCCTGATTTTTATTTCTTGAGTTCTCTATGACGTGAGGTACACGCCTGAAAATTTTCAAGTCATTTGGATCAGCCAAATAAGAATTAAAAATCGCGGAAGATGACGGTGTCAAAACGTGCTTGCCCATGTTTTTTTTCACTTTTTACTTTTTGTTTTCACTCTAGTTCGGCGTCTAAACAATTTTATTATTATTTAAACAATTTTTAGTGTGTTTTGCATTATGTGAAGTATACATATCTAAATTTTCAGGGCATTTATCTATTCAAAAAAAAAAATAAAAAAATCTTCAAAGATGGCGGTGTCAAAAACGTGCTCGCAAACTCACTAATTTTTTTTATTAGTATTTCTTTTTCATAATTTATTTTTACTTCAAATTCGGCAAGGAATTTGGATGTAATGCTCAGACAAATCTTGTTTAGTTTATTTTTCTTCATAACATATATTTTTTTCAGATTTGTTTGAATTTTTTTTATTTTTTTAATTTATTTTTTTTTGTCCGCGTTCGACCCGAACGGCCGAACAAATCCCCAAGGGGTCCCATACGTTCGGGCGTTCGGCCCGTCCCGAATGCCGATTACCCTGTGTCATGTCACAAACAGAACTGTCCAGTAAACCGTAGGCAGAGAGAGAGAAGAGGACAACAAACAAGGGGCTGTGTTCTATTTGT